ACGTAGCATGCATTAGTTGTTATCCTACTTCTGCATGCTTGCATCTTGTTGATTTTTTCAGGACTACAGAGTAACAATTCTGACTAAACGCTTCCATCTTTTGTGCCACACTCTAGATGTAGCATGCATTGTTTCTTCTGCATGCCTTCTCCTTTTTATATGCTCATGTATTCATTGGCCACTTCTATTTAGATTGGTCCTTTCCATGGATCCCATGGTAGTAAGACAAGGGTTAAAGTTAGAGTTCAACTAAATCTGCATGGCATTGTCGGTGTTGAATCAGCTACAGTAAGTAAGAAGCCTCATTTTCATCTCTGTCCATTTTATGTTACTCTCAGATCTATTCTAAGGTGCATAAACGTTTTCATGGTTCCAGTTGATTGAAGATCAGGTAGATGATATAAAGGGTAATGATCATTCATATGTTGAATCAATGGATGTTGACCCTAGCACTGATGAGACAATATCAAATGGTGTTGAAGATAGTAAGCATAGAAATGATGAATTTCCTTATAAATCTGTGAGTATTATTGTCATCTCTATGTGTATAGAGAGAGAGAGAGTTAGTTTTTTTTTTATGAGAATTATACTATTAAACATTTTTGCTTTTTATTCATTTATGATTCTTGTTCTAAGTACTGTCACATCTCTGTTATTGACTGATTTCCACAACTTATATTGATAGCATGTCTATGTTTTTCTCTATTTGGTCACAGATATCATTCATATGGATGTTGGAACTTTGGAGTAAGTGAAAATCTTACTATTGTGCCTTTTCAGGCTGATGCTGCTAGAAGAGATAAAACTACCAAAAGACATGTGCCAGTGAGTGAGAATATCTATGGTGGAATGACCAAGGCTGAGATCTCGGAAGCTCGTGAAAAAGAGCTCCTGTTGGCTCAGCAGGACAGAGCTGTGGAGCGAACCAAAGAAAAGAAGAATAGCTTGGAGTCCTATATTTATGAGATGAGGAATAAGGTACCTTCTTGTATTCATGAGATGTAAAAATATGGCTGGTTTGTTATTCAGGGTACATTATTTATGCAGTCATCCAGTTCATCTCCTGTGATATATAGTTCTGCTTGTCATGTGGTCATTATTACTGAATACTGAGAGGTCAGTCTTTCGTTCTTCTTAACAGTAAGACTTGTAAGTTTGTCAAACAAGACTCTCTGTTGTGTAGTTAGTAAAGAACTGGTTTTTGTGACCGTGTGTAGAGTGCCAAGCTGTGGATGCCATGAGTTGTACACCTATACCTTTCAAACATTTTTGCCTTTTTTTCCACACTAGTCGTATCCAAGCATTTAAAATTTATGCTTCTATTTTCTTGACGGATTTTCATTTAAATGTAATTGCTTATATGGATAGCTCTTTGGCACTTATCGGAGCTTTGCAAGTGAGCAAGAGAGGGAGGGCATATCTAGGAGCCTGCAAGAGACTGAAGAGTGGCTTTATGAGGATGGTGATGATGAAACTGAGGCAGCTTACTCAGAAAAACTAGAAGATATAAAGAAGGTTTAATTTTGCTTCTCCAATGTCGTTGCTTGTCTTGCTATACCCGTGCATTTTTATTTTTTTTTATCATTGTCATAATATATATTGTAATTCCTGTAGCTTGTGGACCCGATTGAGAATCGGTATAAAGATGAAGCAGCAAGAGTACAAGCTACAAGAGATCTCTTGAAGTGCATTGCGGATTATCGCATGTCTGCGAGTTCCCTTCTTCCCCAGGATAAAGAATCGGTACACTAAAACACAAGCCATTAGATATTAGAGTGAGTCTGCTCATAAACCCATGTTTCAAGTAACATGACTTTGTTGTTTCAGATCATCAATGAGTGCAACAAGGCAGAGCAGTGGCTGAGAGAGAATTTACAGCAACAAGATTCCTTGCCTAAGGACAACGACCCAATTATATGGTCAAATGATATTATAAGCAAGGCAGAGGATTTGAAATTGTATGATGCTTTATCTCTTTGTTTCCGTGTTTGATATTCACAATTTTCCGGGTGCATGAGTCAAAGGCACAAAAGTAAAATCAATAGGTTGAGGGGTTGAGGGATAAACGGCATTTTGGGTCATTTTTTCATTGTAGCCCAATAAATGCAGGTGCATTAAAGTCATTTCCTCAGACTGCATAGAAAATTTGTGTCAGTGGAAAAATAACCTAAATCTCTTAAACTTAGCGTCTTAAGTAAAATAGTGAAAACTCAATGTTTAGGCTGCTAATCTCCAAGCGATCTAGCTCACCTACATGTGGGCGTGATTTTATTTCAAATTATGATCAATGTTACATTTTTGTGGCTGTCAGGTTGTGCCAACAGGTGCTGGGATCCAAGGGTTCTTCAACAACTCCAGAGGACAAGGGCAGAGATAAGCCAGATGCTTCCATTCACCCTTGATGAATCTCTTACATTGATAAGCAAAGTCATATATTTTCATTACTCTCCTGACTAATTTTTTTCCCCCTTTCTTCTCTGGTTCTTGTCTTTCTTTTCTGGTAAAGTGAATAGGTTCAAGTAGGTGAAGTCACTAGATTATATGGGTCAAATATTTGTTTGTGTTCTTCAACTAATGTTTTCTCATTTCTGTTGGCATATTAGAATTGTTCACTGTAGCTTTTGCTGATGTCCATCCAACTCAAACCAGTAGCGCAAATTCTTGGTGACAAAGTTATCAATAAAATTGTGCTTATACTAAATAATAATTATATGTAGTGAGTACTTGAGGCAAATATTTTTTTTTATTGGGTTACAAGGCCACGGCTAGAGACTCTGCAAAGGAAAACAGAATAGGTCATATTAGAGAGTAGTAATTTTCTATACCTAAATGGTGGGTCTTTTAAGATCCTAATAACTAAATTCTCATGAAAAGTGTGTTGAGCGAGCGAGTCCGCATATTCATTTGCTTTCTTATACACGTAGTTAAAGGAGACTACCCAATTTTGCATGATAAGATTTCGATTGTCTCTGATAGAGCTAATAAGGGGGTGTGATGTTGAGAGTGCTCATTTTTTGAGGGTGAGGTTTCAAGTCACAGTAGAACTTGTGATTTTTTTCCTTTTAGCAAAAATTAGGGCCTTCAAGAATACCTAATAGTTCAGCTGCAATGTTTGGATGGTATTGGAGTTTGAGGTATTTGGTGAAACTTTTTTTATCCAATTTACACGTCTTGTTCTAGATAAGACCACTGCAAGACACAACTTTATTTTGGCGAACAAAGTCATCAACGTCCAGTCTCACTCAAGACAGATTGTGGTGGGCAAATATTATATAATGTATCACACCTTCCTGCTTCGATTGTTCCATAGCAGCCCCATAATGATAGAAATGATTCTCCTTCAAATGTCATGGAATGCTTATCTTCAAAGTTCAGTTTATTTTTGGATTCCACTATCTTTCAAAATTTTTATTTATCAAATAAAATCGTACATGTTGAGGAGCAGATAAGAATTCAATTATACAAATGTTAAATAATTTGAAAATTTTGAGTTTTTTTACAGCGTCGCTCATAATTATACAACCAAATGGAAATCTTTTTCTCTCGTTATGACGGCAATGAATGTCTTGTATCTTCTTTAAAATCCTTAAAGGCCTCATCCTTCATTAAAATGACATGTTCTATAAAATTATCGTTTACATTGACTCCTTGAGTCTCTTATACCCATTTAAAATGAGTTTTCCCATAATTTCTTCTATTAATACAATCAAGAACATCAAAGATCTTCTTGTGCAAAATTGAATTGTCATTTTTGACTATATTTTTAGAGAGATAAAAATGCATTGATTCATTTATTCATTAAGCATGACGTTAGTTTTTTTATATCAATTTTTTTATCCACTTTTTGGGTGTAAAAACTTAAGCTCTAACATAACTAAATTTTGCTTCCTTGCATAGTTCTATGACCTTCAATTCCAAAATAATAAAAAATAAAAAATTGCTGAGTGCTTTCAGAAGAATTGAACTTATTTCATGGGAGGGTTTAAATTCTAGTTTAATCCTTTGTGGACGAATTATTTATTTATTTCGTCATAAATGTATCGTATCGATTTGGCACTTTATGAAAGAATAGGATATTTTTTAATATGATCTCAAACATAAATATCTTATTTTGTTTTTCCAATATTTATAAATGTCTATTAATATCCTAGAAATGACATTAATTGTAAAATGATATAAAGGTATATTGGCAATGAATTTATAAAAAAATTATTGGCAATGTTTATTTGTAGAAGGATAAATTTTAAAAACACATTGATGAGAAAACAATTTGAAAAAAAAAAATCTATGTGAATTGATTATTTCCCTCCCGGTCAAAACATAGCATGCATGCATATAGGTAAGGTCTCCAGCATATCGGTTAACATAGTAAAACAGAATGAACATGATTTTAAAATTAAATTCATATGATTAGTAACTCCCTCTAAGTTATATATAATTCTATATCCAATAAAAAGGGGAAAATATATCTTATAATTTTTCTCAATTTTAAATTAAATTCTTCTAATTTATTTTATTTTAATTGAGTTTTTATAGTTTGATCAATTAAATTTTTTAGCCCCTAAACTAAATCCTTAAATTTTTCTTTAAAAAACGAAATTAAAAATTTTTATATTTTTATTTCATGATGATATAACTTTAACATTAATTATATAATTTTTATGACTCAATTTATGTAATTAGATTGTTTTTTAAATATTTTTTATGCTTATAAAGTTTTCATAAAAAATAAATGTAAATGCAAATAGTGTATTAAATCTAATTTTATTTTTTCATTTTCACTAAAAGTATTAAATTAGATTTTCTATAAACTCCACAAATATTTTTGTTTGGGAAATTTAATAGTTCATTATTAATTTTAACTTTCAAGGATTGATATATTTAATAAATCAAACTATAAGGAGTTAATTAAAATAAAATAAACTATAGAAACTTGATTCAAAGCTAAAAAAAACTGAAGACTTGTAGATTAATTTTTTCAATAAAAAAAATGTCAATACTGAGAACATGAAAGTAAAGTTCACTAAATGGCCAAAAATAGCGCTCTCAATGACGCTTGTGGCGTGTTAACAATTCTAAAGAATGTTCTACCGAATGAAAACACAACTCTAAACCATATAGGACCTTATATACCTGTGCTTTGAGCTCATACTTCACATTCTAAACTAAATCACAAGTCAAAAACCAAAACCAATTAGATTTACCACCTCTTTGAACACAATTCTACATTCCATACACTCTTGTCGTGGATCAGGATATCATTGCTATTTGGACAAAATCCTATTGATGATCAACTTTCTGGCTCTGATGTCAAATCCTAGCCTGCCTGTTCTTGAATTGCTAAAGAGCAATTAATCTGTGCAAAGAAAATTTGTTATTATCAGGAAATTAAACATCCCAGACGTCCACATCTGGAATTATACTTGCACGTTAAGAAATTTCAGACAATCAAGGGCCTTGGTCCATCTTTGCCGGCCACTGGTGACTTGCAGGACCACACTACAGAATTTACAGAACCACTTGGGTAGCTCTAGAAGAACTTGGCAAATGGAATTTCGTTGACATCAGACAAATGGCCAACGTGACACGGACTTGCTTGTGAGAATTTTATCTCGGTAACTTCATGCAACAAGAGCCCTGAAAGAGTTCCTTAACGTGATGATGATTAACTAGCTCTGTTTTTCAATTTCCTCAACACATGACATAAGAAGAACCCAGTGAGTGGTATTTGAACCAAACCGTGCCATGAGATCTGGGTAACGTACAACAAGACGTGGGAAAGCCAGACAGGAACCGACGCCTTTACACCAAGATTCAGGTAGTTTTCTTCTTGCCACTGGTTTCTTTTTTGACTTTTTGAATCCTGATCCACTTTCCTGCAAAATTCAAACTCATTCAGAGACAGATCCACCTCGCATATACAGCAATCACTAGAGGACGCAATCCATACTTACCCTCCGATAATGCCTATAAGCAGCTCGGCCTGTTAACTCCTGCCCATCTTTGGCGACATAGACCTGCAATTGATAGAGGATCAAGATCCCATGTATTGTGCCAAACTACGCTTTGAACTAATAGTCATATATTTAAGCCGTTTACTTCACAAATTTCAATTCATGGTAAGACAAATAACTACAAGACAAATGCAAGTCAGCAGCGTTTGCTTTATCGCTATTATAAGTTGATACAGTGATGACAGTCTAATATACTATACAAGCCTTCAAAATTTAACATTTTAACCTTCATCGAACAAAAAAAATTGACTGTGTTTGGCCCAGAAAAGGGGGGGGGGAAAAACTTTCACCGAACAACATCATTTGGACATGGAGAAGTTTGCTGGCAGTAATAAAACATTAAAACCAACAACATGCAGTGAGCATGACTATCAGAGCTAAAACTAGAATAGAAACCCAGCACTGCGTATTCAAGTGCATTGTAATAAAAGTAATATATCATCCTAAATGCAACAAAAGCAGCAAAATCATAGTAACAAATCTAGATGCTCCTAATGACAAAAACGGTAACATAACTAATTAATCATTATATGGATGTTGGCATATACAAAGGTAACTTAAAGGCAATGTATTGTACTGGAAAGGATTTCCAAGGATCAAATCATACAGCAATATTTCCACCAAACAAAAATCATGTGCGATAATCTTACATCTCATTATATCCATTAGTATACTTAACAGCATACAAGAAGACTTTTCTTCACACGGAAATTATAAAGGAACCAACTTTTTTAATCATTCAGTAGACAACATTTATGGCCAGGAAGTGCCATCAGTCAAGCGAATAAGTTCAACTAGTTGAACATATTTAAATGTCAAAAAAAATATGAAAGTATGAGTCTATACTTACCTTTCTTCCACCTGATCCTGTAAACCAGTGGCCCACTGATTTACTGTTTGCTTGAACACGTCTTCTGCTTGCATCTTTTGGCATGTTGGCACAGTTCTTTGGTTCCACCCAATTTGCAGAAGCATGCAAGATTTCTGAAGAATTTGACAAGTTTGCTTTACTTTTTCCTTTTGACATAGTTTTCGTGTTACTTTTTTTTGTTGCTTTCCTCTTAGAAGATTCTCCACCAAAAGAAGAATTAATTTTCGGAGCCACCCAGCCCCCAGAAGCATGGAAAGGTTCTTCAACAGTAACTTCTTTTGGTTTGGTTCTTCCCCTAGTCGAACTTTTCTCCAAGTAACCATTACAAGCTTCCTTCTTTTTGGAACCTTCATTGTTAAATTGTCCCCTGAAATCAAAATAAAACCATGGTGAATCATAACCTGCAGAAATTATTCTCTCGTTTTTAAAGCTCATCAAAAGACGTTGTTGGTCAGATAAAAAATTAAGAGTTTACATGTAATCAATATGTGATGCATTAGGTTGGTGATTCACTTTGTCAACACCTAGTGGATAAAAATTGAACAGGCGACTGCGAACTAATTTCCTGATTCTTGGATCCTTGTGGAAAAAATATTGATGAGCTGGAGGAAGTGGATAAGCTGAATTCCATATTTGTTCATCCATTTGACAGCTAGTGGACTCAAACAAGCTCTCATAGTGAATTGCAGATACTGATGTTTCCTTTTCTTTGTCCTTTGCAGAACGGAAGTATTCTTCACAAACCTCATTCAGTGCAGGTGTTGGAATTGAAAAACTCTTCACCGGAGAGAAATCTTTCCATAGATCCTCGCTTTGGTGCGTCTGAAATGATGCTTTCCTATCAAAAGAAGTTACAAATTCGTTTGGCTTACATGATGGTTCTTTGAAGCATGGATCAACCTTGCGGCCACCACTAACATCTTCACTTACAGGGTCATCATCATCATCATCAGAATCAGAATCAAGCAACTGGAATCTGCGAAGTGGACTAGCTGTCAACTTTGGAAACATCAACCCACTCTGGCCCATCTCCAATGTAGCAGATCCTAGGATACCTGAAGTTTTTTTCATTTTTCTTTCTCTACGGTTGCCAGATGAATGAGTAGTTAAAACTCCAGATCCATTCAATGAAACTTTGGAGCTGCTACACAAAGGCTGATTCCATGTTGGCGCACGTGCTTGAACTGATACGAAAGAAACAAAGTAAATTTAGTGACAAATAAGGCATACGCAAATCAAAATATGATTTGAAATGTGTATACACAAAAGAGAAATTATAATGCAAGGACTGAAATATGGGATTTATTAAAACAGATCCATTAATAGATGTTTCAGTAGATAGGGTTTGGTATTTGACTGTACAAAAAGGTGATGATAATTTATATGGCTGCATCCCTTGATGACCTCGTTTATTATAAACAACTAGAGAGACCCAATTACTCGAACCAACTAAGTAGTTTTTAAATCATCCATTCTGGTGTCTCAAAACTATCACTCACCTTTTCACCATCTGTTTGATATGATTTTCTTGATATCCATCTTGCAGTCAGAAATTGTGGCATTGAATCTAAATCCTATCATATCTTAAAAATCTAACCCCTAACCAAAATAATTAAATCCCAAATCAAAGCAAATAGAATTTCCAACCCCCCCCCCCCCCTCTTTTCCTCCTGGGAAGGCTAATAAGTTCAGTCAGAAACAGCTGTTAATTCAGTGAGATTTGTTTTCAATATTTTCTCTTTTCGAGTCTCATGGTACTCCTCCTGACTATCTAATAAGATTGCTAAATGCACAACAAAGTACAAACCCAGTCCAATAAAGGGAACTTCCCTTTTTGAAAAACATTATTACGAAATCCAATAAAAGAAGATTAGACGGAGGATGCAAGCTTGTTACCCTGAAGGTCTTCCTCATCAGAGAATTCCTCGATATCATCATCGCCGTCACAACCCGATCGTAGCCCTTCCTGCCTCTGGATGGGCGGCGACGACCCATCACCTGGTCCACGGCGTAGCCGCTTCAGAATCCGAGGTGGTGGGTCTGGAGCCATATCCGGATCGGACTCAACCACATCGGGGCCGAAGCATTCCTCAACCTCCACGCGTGCAGGAGCACGGGGAGGACTGAGCGGAGAGTGAGAGTTTGATTCATCGACATTGTGATCCAAATCAAGACCGAGAGAGAAAGATGGAGCTTCACAATCTGCCATTGTAGCAGAATTCCACGGAATGGAAAGTGAGAGATGAAATGTAAACGAAAGATCTGACGAGTTGGGTTTTGAATTTGAGGGGGAAATGGAGGGAATTGATGAAAGTAAAATTATTTGGCGGGTCGGTGGACGAGGGTTTGTCCGTTTGAGTGAAAGTAAACAGGGGTTATCCCTGCCTAGCCACGTCATCCAGATCAGCCAGTCATCGACCAAGTCACTGGCCACATGGCATGACACATCATCACTCGACCCAGTCATTTGCCACGTGGATAAACACGTCATCATAAGACCTAATTGTCATTCAAGTTACCAAATATCCACATCATCCTACAAAATTAATTATCATCCCAATCACTAACCACGTGCTTAAACATGTTATAAAACAGGTCCAACCACTTGTCACATGGCTCACCATGCCATCCAACGGACTAAGTCATTGTCATAGTCACCAACCACAAGGAAAGCCACACCGTCATGCCCACAATCAGTCCAAGTCATCGACCACAAAGCTTGACACATCATCTAATGGATGAGTCGTCACTGTTTTGACATGTGTCTAGCCACATCATCTAATGGATCCAATCATTGTCCTAGTCACACCCAACATGGCTCAGCACATCATGCTGCTCATAGTCATTGTCCAAGTCACTTGTCACGTGGCTAAACATGTCATCCCAATAATGGTTTTCTTCCAAGTCACTAACCATATGGTACAACACATCATCCTATTTACCCAATTAGTGGCAACATCTCTCCAACCTAGTAATTGTCCTAGTCATCAAACACATGCTTGGACATGTCATCCCATAGACCCATTCACTAAGCACACGCACAAACACATCATTCCGTTGATCCAATCATCATCCTAGTCAATTGCCACATGGCCCAACAAGTCATACTTCTATCTTGTCAGCTACAACATGGCCGCCCAATCATCATCCAAGTCACTGACCACGTGCCTAGCCACACCACCCAAGTAAAACAATCATTATCCTAAAGGCATGCCATATTTAGCGATATAATCAATGTAATCCAACTTCACTAGGTTAAGCACGAATCTATGAATGGGCCTATGATTAGCCCAATATAAGATCCGTGTAATAAAAAATCATTGCTTGTTTTGAGAAGGCTACTAGTAGATTTGTGGAAGCTCTATTATACAAGTTAAATTTATTTCAATCAATAATTTTACTTTGCTCTCTTCATTTTTGTTACTCTCTCTATTTTAAATTATAAAAAACTTTTAGACAAAATATCACATATCATTAAATACATTTAACAGTCTTATCTTTTCAAAACAAAAATATAAAGTTTAAAAAAATACCCACCATTTAATATATTAAAAAGAGAAGAGACAAAAATTAATTATAACGAGAGAAAGAACAATATTGAAATTGATATATTTAATAAAATTTTAATTTACTTAAAGTATCTTATATTTTAGGACTGAAAAACTTCTTAAAAAATGCCCTATAATTTAGAAAGGAGGAAGTATTTAGTAATATTAATTCAAGCAATAAATTTAAAAAAATAGTAATACTTTTTCCTTATGAAAGAAAATTTATATTTATATTTACGGACCATAATAAAAAATTAAAATTAAAAAAAAGAATGGAAATTATAATTTAGGATATCAAAAATATATCTTTTTTCTTATATTGTAAAATGCATCTGGTGATACTGATTGTTGTTTGAACTTTGAAGGTAGATTTATTCCCTAATCCCTGGCAACCATATAAATAATTTAAAAAAATGACGAAAATTAAATCAGAATCGAAAGAGAGGGTAAACCACATTATATCAACCAAAACAAAATACAATAAGAAAAGAAAAATAAAAAAGAATCTCAATGGCTCAAATTGCAATTAATTTTGCTGCCCCAATTATCAAAATACCCTTGCCCTTTTTTTCTTTTTTAAAAAGGTGCCCTTATCAAGGCCAAAATTCTGACACCAATGCGGTGGTCAACAACCAATCAAATATGTCAAGTGTTAAGGGTGAATTTGAATTCTTGATCCTTTGATTCCACAAAATGAAAAAAAATTATTGAACCAACAAATACTTTAATATATATAGTGCAAAATTAATATTATATATATATATATACTATAACTTGTATTTCTAAATATTTTTACTCGTTGTTGCATATATTGAACATATTGTTGTGTGCACCTAAACAATTATTTATATATATTTAATCATAATTTGTTTATACATAAAAAAAGTTGTCAATTTTTTAAAATTAATTTTGTTCATTCAATATTAACAAGTTGTGAATATTGTGTTAAATAAAAATGTGTGTTATAAATTTATTTTTAAGAATTTTCACAGGTTTTGTTAATTGTAGATATCTTATTGTGTATATATAAATAATTATTTGTACATATTCGAACACCACTGTTCATATAGAAAAGAAAGAGTTGTCAAAACCTAATTTATTTTATTTTTCACAACTTATTCCTTCAATCTTAACAAGTTATTAATATTATGCTAACTAAAAACTATATGTTATAAAACAAAATACAATAAGAAAGAGAAAAAAAGCCACAGATAATGATTTCAAAAATGAAATCAACAGTGAGTATTTTCACGAAAATAAAAATAAAAAACGTAGACGGTAGCATGGCAAATTGACCATCAAGCTATAACAAAAAAATTTATTTATCAAGATACTGTACTTTTAAAAATATTCATCAAGGTACTACAAACTAAAAATCAATCCAATAGATACCAAGTTCCAAAATTTCTGTCGTGTCAGACATATATTAAACTTGGCTTCTATTACACTGAGCTTTGCACAATTGGGGGCAAAAAATCAGACGTCAATCTGCCCATCTTCCCACTCCCCCCCCCCCCCCCCAAAAAAAAAGAAAAGCCAACGCACACTTTCATGTTCTTTTCTCTGTTAAATGTTACTCCTTCCCTCCTCATGTGTATACATGATAGATGTAATGTCAATTATTTAAATAAAAAAATATTGGTTATGAAAATAGAGATTGAGAAGAAGAAAAAAGAGAAAAACCTACAATAAAAAAATTAAAAGCTTTCTTATTTTTGTATGTTGAACACAATTGAAAAACCTTCTATTTATATATATAAATGTAATTGATTAAATGAAATAAAATATACAAAATAATGGCAATAACTGAAACATGTTAGAGTAACCAAAAGACATGGACATACAAAAAATCCTCTAATATTCATAACACTCACTCTTCTATATTGAGATATTATGCTTCATTGGAAATGCCATTCCATGAGGAAGCATTGACGCAAAGCTCTTTCAATGAGAATTTAATATAGTTATATGTTTAGAACTTGAACTTGAGATTAGTGATTAAATTAGTATAATCTCTTATCAGTTGAGCTACGTGCTCGTTGGTATTATCTTCATTTTTTTTTCACTTATTATTTTTAATACATAGATTAAGAAATACAAACTTTGTATTAAAATATTTTCCATTCTGAGTTTTTAAGAATAATTGTCATTTAAAATTTCAATAAATATTAATTATTTTTGTTCAGTTTTACCCTTTAATAATGATAAAAGTAAAAATAAATTAAAGTTTCTTAAACCGTATTTACACACATAACCTTAATGGTGTGTTTAATTTGAGGGAAGGGAAAATCCAAGATTTTTCACGGGTTTCAAAAAATTGAAGAAGTAGGGTTCAAAGCTTTTAATTATTTTTCATCACTCTTTTGTCTTACATTCACTCTTTATTGTCCATTTCTTTTAAATTGAACTTGCTAAAATTTCAAACTCCGTGCAACAAACTAATTTTTATAAAATAACCAACCCAAGAGCAATTGAACACTATACTTGAGTAAAAGCTTGAAAGTTAATTCTATGAAGTAAATTACTGAGAGACAAACACCAACTCTAAAGTTGTATCATTGCACTTGTTCGTTATCCTCATCGTCTTCTACAGTCAGGTCAGGCAAACTAATAAGCTAGTCTTGCTCTTGGGAAACCATAATTAAAGCCGGTAATTCAGACAAGCCGAACTCAATTTGGATTGGTTGAGTATTTGAAATTTTTTTAAAATTAATTTTAATTTTTAAATAATTTGTTAAGTATAAAATATTATTTTAACTTTAAAAGAGTAAAATAAAAAATAATAATTTATCAACTTTATATTTAAGTAGCTTTGTTATTATTTTATTGTATTATGTAACATCCCAATTTAAATTTTAATAGTTAATTTGAGTTAATAGAAATTTAAAAAAATAATATTTAGAGGTAAGAAAATTAGTAAGAGATGATTATTAAATCTAACTTAGGATATAATTCTAAAAAAATTTAAAAAAATTTAAAAAATAATTAAAAAAATAAAAAAATATTATTAAATTATTATTATAATAAAAAAAGGGAAAAGGTATTAAAAAAAGTGGGGGAAGAAGAAGAAGAACAAAATTGCTTTCGGCCGCCGCACAACAATCATTATGTATATAATAATAAAAAAAAAAGGAGAGAGAGAAAAGAAGAAATAATAAAAAATGTGTGAGACCCACTGATTTTTATAAAAACTCACCTGTTCTTTCGTTTTTTCATTCATTCCTTTGTGAGCGTTGATGCAGAGAGAATGCGAGTCGCCGATGTGAAATATCTAAATTTTTAAGGTAAGAGTTTTTAATAGGATATTTATGGTGTGATTTTAAGCTTTTCAAGACTAAGTAAGTGTTCTAAAATTTTTTTCTTAGTCATTCTTCTTCTTTGGTTTCTGAGTTTGTAGTGGTAGAAAATTTAAGATTTGGAAGAGGGATGAATTTATGTTGAATAATATGGTTTTTGAGGTTATCAGTAATATAATAAATGTTCTAGAGTATAAATTTATTGATGATCTTTGAATTTGTGGCTTATGGATCAAATTCTAAACTAGATCTGAAAATATATGTTGATTTATTGAGGTTTAGATGATTATTTAGGATGAGAAATGAATTATTATGGTTATAGGATTATGATTCTAAGCTAGAGACTGAATTTTTAATTTTTGGGTACTTTAGGTACGAATTTATAAAATAAAAAAAATTTTGATAATAGAAATTAGTTTAGAAGTTGATTTTTAGATTATTAATGTTTATTGATAATTAAAAGAGGAGTTAAAAATTTTACTTAATAGTATTAACTATAAATTTGTATTAAGATTGAGATTAGAAATTATGTTATATTTTTAATTCTATTATTAGAATTATTTTATTAGTTTCAAAATTGAAACTAATATTTATAAATAATATGTTATTTGTAGATTGTATTACTGGTGAAGATTGCGGTGAGAGAGAAATTTTAAGGAATAATTTATTGAAAAAGCCACAAGGTAACCATGCTTTTAATTTGTGATTAGTGTTACTTCATGTTAATTGGGTGATTATTGAGAAAATTATGAATTTGTTTGATTATTGTGGGAGGTGTTGGGAGACTTGCTATTGTTGTTGTATTTATGTGCCACGTGGTACGCCCTTATTGGAGCTCAATAGGTGGCTTGTAAAGGCTCGGGCTAATCTACCTTTGGCCGGATAATTTAGCACCGAGTGAGGGCTACGGCTCGAGGTTAATGGAGGGATATAAGGATGGTTGTTTGTGTGTATTGTAATATTTATTACATTTGTTAAAATTATATTATTTTTAATTCTCATTTAGTAAGCACACACTTAACTGTTTGTATACACTATCATAAATTGGCTTTGGTTACTGAGACTTTTGAGTCTTATTATGTGGTTAACAATTTTTAGGAGAAGAGCCACGAGTGACACGTGGAGGAGTCCCAGAGGCTTAATGGTATAGATCCACTGTCTCTTTTGGGTATTTAATTTATGATTTATAATGTGTTATATTGCCAATATTAGGGCTTTTTGTTTATTATCAATTATATGAATATATAAATGTAATCATGCCTTTCAAACTATTTCTATTTTTGGTACAATTTGGATAACTGCAATTTTAATATTTGGTTTACTTTGGATTGGTTAAATGGCGTGATTATAAGGCCAAATAACTGGCTTGTGTTGAAAATTGACTAAATTACTTATTTTACTTGTTGGGAGTATAAGGATGGACAAATGTGATTTAGTTTACTTGTTGGGAGTATAAGGATGGACAAATGTTATTTAGCCTAATGGCATGTGGGAGGTAAAAATTTATCTGAAATGTTATAGTGTGTGAGTTGAAGCCAATTATAAAATATTTTATATTAAAATTATTGATATAAGAATGTGTTGGGTGGCTGTAACCTAACTATGGTTGAGTTAAATTATTTAAAAAAAAATTTGGTGTGTTACATATTATATGTAATTTATTCCTAAATGTTTCATCTACTTGTAAATTAATGTCTTAACTATTTAAATATTACTCTTATTATAGTCATATGTAAATATTTTATATATTGTAATTAAATTATATTTTTTTAATTATCATTAAGTTGATCTCAATTCAATTATAGTTAGACAACTAACTTAAAATTATTATTCCGGTCAATTCAAAGTTTTTAATAACTTTTGGTTAAAATGTACATTTCATTTTTAAGAATATGAAAAAATAATTGTCATTATATTATATAAAATAAAATTATTTAATTATGAGTGAAATACTATTTTTTTAAATTTTTTTATATTATTTAACCCTTACATACAATGAGTTTTTACTTTTTACTATTTTATTCTTAATTTTTAACCAAATTTAGTTTAGAAAAATAATCAAATAATCATCTAAGAAGATTTTATTTATTATATTTATTTAGTAGTAGAGTTGGGAATTCATACATACCCAAATTTTATTTTTAAAATTATTTTTACTTTAAAATTAATTATATTATTTTATGAAAATATAAAAATATTTTTTGGATATGCAAATAATGTATAAGACTCAAAACCATTGGGTCTTAAAAATATAAAAATTAATATTAAAATATATTTTAAATACTTTTTTGAGAAATTTTATTGATTAAAAATAATAAGGATATAAAAGTATAAATATTTTTAATTTTTTTTAAAAATAATTATAGTAATACACTCCAGTGTTTTAATATAAATGATATAAAACTTAAGAAACTAATCACTATTTATTGTATTATATATATATATATATATATTTTAAAAAAATTAATTTTTTTATTTAAGTATTTAGGCCAAGCTCTAAGGCCCGAATTTTCTCGAGCCTATTTGGACAACCTGAATAGGCTCAAACATTAAAAAATAATATCTTTTTTTCAAGCAGGTTCGAGCTAACCTGTTAGACTTAGCTCAAATTACCAACTCTAACCATAATGCCCAAAGGAAGGAATACATATTGGCTGCCACCTATGATCTACTTCTTCCAAACCACAATATAAATTACAGTAAATTAATTCACAATTTATTAACAATGTTAATTGAAATCTTAAAAGTTTTAAAAATGGCTACATTTTTTCATTTACTCTCTCATCAAATACATTATACAAGGGCCTTAATAATAATAATAAAATTTCAATGCATGATTTTTTTTTATAAAAAAAGTAAATACAGTAGAAGTGTAGTTATAAAAACAAATATAGAAGTTACTTGATGCCCTATATTTTGAAGCAGAAAGCAAAGTTTTTAAAAAAGATGCTTTATATTATGATCCAAAAGGAATATGCTACATAATAATCTAATTTCTCATTGATATATTTGTCCTCAGACACAAATTATACACCAAAAGCAACATGCTTCCCTGAAAGATTATGCTAAGATCCTGCACAAAATCAAGACAGATTACAAAACAGGCTATTTCCCAAGACAGATTATTCCATTGTATTGAAGCAATTAGGCACAATGAGATGGGAAACAATATCTGCTCAGTGCCTAGTATGAGATATATTGAAGAACCAAGACAAGAAGATGACCGCTGTCTGAGGAGGAAAATGAGTTTACTCATGGTCCTTCCTGGCTTGTAGCAGCTTCCAGAACATGCTTGTGCTTTCCACAGTGCTGAATGAAATGAACTGGCTTCCTGCCTCCTGTTAACCATTCTTCAGTTACAATAATCTGCCTCTCCTTAAATCTATATCTTCTGTTTGAGAACATGGCGTAATTGGAGTTTCTGGCCTTCCATCCGTGCCTCCAAAAGCCTGGCTTTCAGACTATTCTTCTGCGTACTGCGAGGGATGCATCCCTTCATACCTCGATGTCCGTGCGGATTTCCTGACTCAGGAGAACTCAATTGGCATAAAAGATCTCCGGGACTCATCCCGCCTTTACCGGATCCCTGATCTGGAGACATGAGGCCTCCACAAGATAACCTTCCATTGGAAAGCCTGCCATTCACGCCGTCCACAGAGACTATCTTGTAATCCCCATTGTTTGGGCATGACTTCCAAATTCTTGCTATGGATGAGACCTTCTTTGTTTGCTTGGTTGGTGGAACCGAGCAGACTTCACTGATTTCAGTTACTGGTGTCTCATTGCCGCCGTTTTCTCCCCATTCCAGCACACTTCCTGATACATCACTCTCACGGCAATGCTTGTTCACAGGTGAAACACTCCCTTCTGGTGAATAGCTTGATCCCTGATCGTCAACATGGCTCACAGTTTCCCATCCACTTTCATCCTCGATCTCTCCATTATCATCCAGAAATAAATCTGAACGTCTCTGAATGGCATCCTTAGCTATCCCATTGACTTCAGGGCTCACTGTGTGAATCTTCGAGTCATGACTAGCTGGAGAATAAGCCACACAAGGTTCAATCTCCCTTTCAGTGGTTTCACCACCATTTACTTCTTCAAAAATGGCAAAAATATCATCTGGATTAGGGGGCTCATATGAAAATCCCTTGATATCTTGTATGTTCACTGCAGCTGCAGCCTGTTGAAGAGACTGTGCCTCTCTCATCTCCTTTGGATCAAAGTCTGCACATCTTGACTTCAAAAAGTTTTCCAAGTCTGCTACAAGTCTATTCATGTGTGAGTATTTCTCTTCAAGAGCAACTTTTGCATCTTTTAACTTCATTTGAACACGTTCTTCACGCCAAACTTCTGCCATCTGTAACATCTTCCTCTCCTCTTCCACTTCTCTAAGTTTCATCTGTAACATCTTCCTCTCCTCTTCCACTTCTTCTCTAAGTTTCATAGATTCCCTTTTCAATGCCTCAACTTCAGTCTTGTCTTCTCCGATTTCGTTAACAAGCTCACCACATACTTTCTCAATCAATATTCTGTCCCTTCTTTCGTTCTCATAATCCTGCATATAGCGTTTAACAGATAATTTGGCACCTTCCAATTCATTCACCAGCCTTGAATTGACAATTTCAGTCCTCTGGCGACTTTTCCGTTCTCGGGTTAATTCTGCTTTGATGTCATCAATGTATACACGAATTTTCTCATGCTCTCTGCATCTCCATGATGCCTTTTCCTCACTTAGTTTCCTCAAGAAATGCTCAAGTTTCTTTTTTGAGGTGTGGTGCTCAGTCTCAAGCTCTTGAATGCGTGCTCGAGCCTGCTCAAGTTCAGCTTCAAGAGCAGAAACAACAGATACAGCACTCATCTTTTGATCAAAAAGTTTCATTTGGTTGTAGATATGTTGCGCCTCATCAGGTGTTTTCAAGCAGACAGGATCCCACTTTGTTGCCCCCTCCATCGCAGAGTTGGAAAGATGTAAAGATGGCTCAAGCTGAAAAATTGTGGGACTGAGATTAACAAAATCTCTTACTGTACCCCAAAAAAACCCTCTTATAATTGATATTTTAAATGCTACTTCCAACATGTGAGCTTACACTAGACCAAAAAGTGTGATGACAATCCATGCCCTTCTACCAAAATCATAACACAGCGTACATATCATGAATCTAAGCAACAATCGATTTACTTAATTTGCTCCAAGGCAGGTCATTTTACCAGCTGCTCTTCCATATCATTTCTACTTGTCAATTTAAAGCTTCAATTTAGGGATTGTTGTCATGTCAAATTGTACTTGTGCACATACGCCTGTACACATACATGTGAACAGGTCCTTAATGTATTCTTAATTACAACACTAGCAAACCATCAACTGCACAATGGGGCATTGCTATGATATAATAGTTAGACACATATCTTAAACCTAATATGATAAGATAGCAACTTTCGCACATAGTGTAAACTAATGATTAAAACTGGTCCTCACATGCTTGGTCAGGCAAGGAGATCCCAGTGCAGTATAGAAGAAAATTGTAATTCCACTCTCAACATCTATATGACCTTCACTCAATAATCTTGAAGCATAAGAAACTATTGACACTTTCAGTAGTTCAATTAAGAAATAAAAACACAATACCTCACAGAAGTGTCCGCTTTTTGCACCAACAATGGAACGAGGGCTTTGTGATACATTGTTCAGATCAGAACCATTGGTAACACCATTTTGATGGTTGAGAAACGGGTGGCCTCCATGGCCAATTCCATGCTGTTGATGAGTGAAAACGCATTGAGTATGCAAATTTTTACCAATGTTTGCAAATGATGCTAATGACATTGACCAACATGACACAAGAATAACAAGCAGCAAAGAAAAGATTCTCTATATTGATAGAAATGCTTTGATATCTAAAAACAGATCCTAGTGCATAATTGATGAAGAAAAGGAATCCAAATAAAGTCCTACTTAAATTATAAAATGCATCTAAATAAATCAATTGGTACTGGAGATAATTAACATTATGCAATGGCAAAAATGCATTTAATGAAAATCAAGTAAAATATAAGGTTACCCATGTCCACAGATAAACCCTAATTGCATTATTCAAAATCACAGTAAGGTCGTAAGGAGTTTTTCAGTAGAAATCGAAATCAATGAACTAGATAAAACTTTTCAAGCTCGAAAAGACAGCTGAATATCTTCCTCAGGAAGTCTAATATATGTCAAAACACAAAAAGGAGGCTGGAGAATGATGATAAAGATCCAATCTTAAAAGTCAACCATAGACTTAAACATTAAGCAACAATCAAACCATCAACAAAAAAGTTCTAGAATATATTTACTCCCAATGATGAGACTATGATACGGATAAATTAGCTCAATGCTGCAAAACAGAAGTTCAATCGCAAGCAGCTAATGCAAGAAACTGGGATGTGAATGAATACTACGGATCCATAGTGAACAAAAACAAAAGTCCAAAAGCAATACTGGAGCTACCTGGAGTCCCGACCGAGCCAGTGCCATCTCCGGCTGCTGCAACCGCCACAGCCCAGCAGCGAGCTTCCTCACTGACACGCTCGCTTCCTTCTGTTTCTTCCCTTTTGCTCTCCGGCCGCATCCAGCGTCCGACTTCTCATCTTCTTCAAGTGGATCGTTGTTTTTTCCGTTATCATCGGTCTTCCACTTCAGTAAAGGGGTTTCCGGTCGGCTCCGTCGACCCGAAGGAGCACCATTTTTCCTGAACCGGGCCAATGGGGTTCGGGGTTTTCGTCGGTGAGACGCCTTGGGCTGAAGATCTGAGTCCGGTGACGGATTTCGGGTCCTCGAAATAATAGTCTCCGAACATTTTGGTGGGTGTTGAGACTTGCCTGAAACTTTCATCTCTCCAGCGAGTGTGGGCCACTCACATATCGAGATAGAGTACTGCTTCCTGCATAAATGCCCCCAAAGAGAAAGCAAGAAAGATAGGTACAGAGAGAGAAGGAGGAAGAGATAGAACGAAATAGAGCGAGAATCTGTGTGTGTGCTTGTGATGAAGCTTGTGAAGTGTGTGCAAGTGTGTCTGTGAGAACACGAGAAAGTACAGAAAGAGAGAGAAGGAGGGAGAGGGACGCTGTGCCTCTGCGAGAAAGAGAGAGAGATGGCGTTTTTCAGGGATTAGCTGAGAAAACTACGCAACCGGATACAAAATACGTAAGTCTTTCCGTATGTTTCTACGGTCAACGTATCTCTCTTACAAGTATTCTTTTCTTTTCTGTGAAATTAGTAATAAATAAATTACTACCATAAAATTTGGTTCACGATCAAAACGACGTCGTGTGATTCACGCTTTCTCCCAAGAAACGTCACACGCGCACGCATATTTTTTGTTTTGGGGCCCCCCTTTTCGCCAGAAGAGACGTTGTGATTTGAATCTATTCATTCCCACGCAGGGAATCTACCGAGCTTCAATGACAGTTTTTTGGAAACATATATTTTTGTAATCCCTGCATATGTATTTTTTTTATATTTTAAATTTTTATATTTTATTTTTAATATTTTATATTTATTTAAAGTCCTTATATTTTATTTATTTAAAAATTCAAAACATAAAAAATATAAAAAATTATAATAAAACACGAATAAAGTATAGATATGAGAATATATGTTTTTTTAAATATTTTTTAAATAATTCATTATAATAAACCCCTTAATTTTAATTTATTATAGCTCAATTTTTATAAATTTTATTTAATTATAATTTAATTTTTAAATTTTAACTCATACAATTCAATTTTTATAATTTTAATTATTTAAATATTAATTCTTTTAGAAAACTTAGTTAGAAATATTTAAAAATTGAGTTATAATGAGTTAAATTTTAATAATTAAATTATAATTGAGTTAAAATTATAAAAATTAAATGATTAATTTTTTAAATTTTTTTCCTTTTCATAAACTTATTTTTTGGGTTTCTTTGATAAATAATTTCATAATTTATATCCGAGTTCCAATGAGAAACAACAATGGCCTCGTATTCCTTTTGCAGTGAATAAAATACTTATAAACATGCTCATGCTGTCAACAATTAAAAAAAAATACAGAAAAAAACTTACAAATTAAAAAAGAACCTAATGAATAATTATTTATCAAACTACTAAAAAAATTACAGTTTATCATTAAACTCTATGCAACTACAACTACACAGATCTATCTAATTAGTTAAAAAATGATAAAAATAAATTTGTCAAGTATGGATTTCAACGAATCTTTTGGTATGTTTACTTCGTAAAGTCTCTGACCTTTTTAAGAATCTGAAGAGCATGGTCAAGCAACCGAGAATTTCAACGCTCAAATTAGCTTATAAAGGTAACACAATGATCATTTCAAAACATGCAATGACATAGGGAACTTTGTTGTGTAGTTCTTATTTGCACAACTGAGGAATTTCCACTTCTCGGTCTGAAGAGAAATTTGCAATTTGAAAACCAAAATATTTATCTATAATTAAAACATTCACCCAAACTTAAGTTAATTATTAATTCTCTTAATTAAGTAATTAATATTAACTAATTAAAATTTCCACAAATTGTTCCTTTGTTTTGCAATGAAATTACATGAAAAAACAAAGGAACGCTTTAGCCTCAAAGAAGACTTATTCCAAAATCAAATACGAACTTTGAATTAATCTTGAATGAATGTTTAACATGGCATAATTATAATTGTTAATTTAATCAAACAACTGTTAGAAATTTTGTTACAAAATATTCAAAATGCACCAAATCTCAATTTTAATTTTGAAGGGAACAACATAGGTTAGGGGCTTATTTTGAATTCTTGGAGAAAAATGTTTGTCCATGAATTTTAAGACTTGATTAGATATAATCACTATGATTGAGATATTTATTGAATAAATAGATTCAAATCACTCACTGAATTTAAATTTACGAAACATAACGAAAATAGATATATCTAAATTATCACATCATGATCCACTTCATCTAAAACAAAATAATAAAATTCTTGTCAGGAGAGCCACTCATATTTAACATATGATTGTGCCATGAATATAATTATTGTAAGGGCAAAAGTCATATGCTTAACATCATACACTTAATATACTAATATTAAATTAAATCATGACATGTAAATCTTTATGTATTAATTTAATTAATAAAAAAATTATTATAAAAAAATAATTTTAAAAAAATTCACATTATAAATTGTCTTATTTTTATAAATCATTCTTCTCCACTTGTAATTCTACTTATCGTATCAGATAACGCCTTTGTTTTTGTTTTTGTTTTTGTTTTTTGTTTTAAAGAATGGAAGGGCTTGCTTGGATATATGTAGAATCAATTATGGTCTAAAATCATGATTTTGAGAAATCTTATTCAAACACCCCCAGTTTTCTCACACTTCATGTGCTTTCCAAAACTTCATTTGACACGATGCTTATTTGGATAACACCTTGAATTAATTTTGGAGACCAAAATTATAATTTTATAAAAATATATTTAAACACTCACGTTACATGTTAAAATTAATTATAAATTCAAAATTATATTTTTTTAAAAATATCCAAACATCTATTGTACATGTTAAATAAATTATGAACATAAAACCATTGATTTTTTTAAAAATTTTCAAACACCTCTTATTATGTCAAAATTAATTAAGAACCAAAAAATAAGATTTGTAAAATTATTTATATGATTTATGAATAAATTTTTTAAAAAGGTATAATTGAAAAATTGATTTGAAAAGCAGGTAATAATGGCTTATAAAATAACTATGGTTTTGAATTTATGATTGATTTTGACATGTATAATAGCTTTGGATATTTAAAAAAAATCATGATTTTGAGTTTATAATTAATTTTGACATGTATAATGAGTGTTTAATTTTTTTAAAAAATATAATTTTAAATTCTTAATTAATTTTGACATGTAATATGGTTGTTCAGATATATTTTCACAAAATCATGATTTTTCCTTATTCTCAATTTTTCTTTTCAATTTTAATTAAAATCAATCTTATTAATTAATTTTATAAATCAATTATATATCACAAAACATAATTAATTATATTTAAATTTAATCATATTAATCAAATTTTTATAATTAATTATACCTAACTGAAATTTAAATACACCTATAAACTATTTTTTTCTCAGTCTAAGAATAAATTCTCAACATTTGAACTTTTTTTCTCTATTTCAGTGTTTATAATTGATCCTAAAAAATTATTCAAATATTTTTAATTATCAAAATCAATTTAAAAAATATTATTTAAGTATTATCACATTTTGTTATAATTTATTTATAACCGATTTTTGTCGATTGAAATCCAAACTCATGCGGGAAGGATCAAACTTCCTGAAGGAAAATTATAGACAATTGGGAACCACGCGCGACAGGAGAGAGTGGAGAAGAGACATAGATTGTCGTGGATATCGTCGAAAAGACGAAAACCATTGGGGAAGGAAGGGCTAGAATGAATAATAAGTGTTCTGAGGACGGAGCAGCGTCAGCGTGGCCCGTGCACTCATCTATTTGTTCCGTTCCATAATTTAGTATCCTCCCTCAAGGTATCCGAGGGACGCTCCACGTGTCTCTCCATCCACACGCCACGTGTCCATGTAGGACAAGACCCTCACCCACACCCACATGGGCCTCTAAATTAATTAAGTGCCTCCCCCAAACACACCCCCTAATTATTTTAACCAATTAAATATTCATTTTCTTCCATTTTGTTGCTATTAAAAAAGAGTAAGAACTTAGATCTAGTCTTGTTATAATTTAATCTCATTTAAAAGAGGGAGGTAACGGCTATTTTCTCTATCCCAACTTTTAGCTCTCAAAAAGGTAAATTAATTTATTATGTTTTGCGAGTGTGGTTCCATGAAAAGGCAAAAAGGTCTGTGATGAAATTCATAAAATCTCCACAGGAACTGGTGGGCCATGCCTCATCATGGGTCCTATTACTCACTTTCTAGCGGAAGTATGGGAGGCTGGGAGCGGTGTATCTTCCTAAAAATAAAATGATTCAATAGAGCGCTTCTAATTTAATTTTTGGAGGAGTAGTTATAATTATAAAGTTTTCTCATGAAAATAACTAATCATTTAATACTATAATTTTAATTCAAACTCTTGTAACTCAATACGTAATTACTTATAATTTTAACTAAGCTATAGTTTAATCCTTGAATTTCAAGTAATTTTAACTATTTAAAATACTAATCTATATATTTAAAAAATTAAAATTATAAAAATTAAAATTATTTTAAAATTTAGGGACTAATATTTTAAATTGCTAAAAATTTTAGTCTTTATAAAGATTATAATATTTATCATAATCTCTATAATTTTATTTTTTTTAAAATATAAAAACTAATATTTTAAATTATTAAAATTATAGAGACTGAATTGCATTAAATAAAAGCTTAAGGCTTAAGTTAAAATCAAATCAAAATTATACAAACTAATTTACAATAAGTTAAAGTTTAACAACTTGGTTACAAATATATAAAAATACAAGATTAAATGATTCTTTGCTGTCTTCATTCCATAAATATAAATAATCATTAAACTTGGAAAATAAATAGAATGCGAAAAGAAATACTGTCATTTCGAACTTTACATATTGAAAAAACCAGTTGCGGGGCTTTCGGAAGACGGAAACCAATAATGCCAACTACAATAAATTCAATTTATTGCTTTGTTCCTTAGGGACTATTCCCTTCTCAAAGTACCACAGTGAATTACAAGAAAGAGTCTGCCTCAAAATGAACTAATGAAACAGACATAACAACTGACTTGCATTCACACCTCATGCATCTAGACTTCTATCATTTTCAATTCTAAGACTTTTTTCCACCTCATCTCTATTTCTATCACACGCCATTACCAAAAATATTAAAAAGGTTTAAACAACACAGCATTCCAACTCCACTGGCTAAAAAAAAAAAAAAAAAAGACAGATACTTAACATCACAAGCTATAGACATGCAGCACCCAGGAACTGGTACTTTTGCTCCTTATAGTAACATTCATAATCTTAGCCATAGCATCGAATTGGATCGTTGCACCCTTTAGCAGCAGACTGCTTGAAACCGAATCTACCTCCTTTCGCAAGGTATTGCTGATGGTATTCTTCT